AGACAAAAGAATAGAAATGCTACATGGCCAGCGGAAAAGGGCGGACACCGGCAGTGACAGACCTGGGAGACAAATGAATAGAAACAGTGGAAAAGGGCGGACACCACCAGTGACAAGCGTGCGGGACAAATGAATAGAAATGCTACATGGCCAACGGAAAAGGGCGGACAACAACGCCACTGACAGACCTAATAGAAATGCTGGACACCAGCAGCGACAGAACTGGAAGAGAAATGAATAGAAATGCTACATGGGTAACGGAAAAGGGCGGACACCAGCAGTGCAGGGCTGGGAGACAAACGAATAGAACCAGCAGAAAAGGGCGGACACCACCAGTGACAGGCCTGGGAGACACATGAATAGAAATGTTACATGGCCAGCGGAAAAGGGCGGACACCAGGAGTGACAGACCTGGGAAACAAATGAATAGAAATGCTGCATCGCCAGCGGAAAAGGGCGCATGGCCAACGGAAAAGGGCGGACACCACCAATGACAGACCTGGGAGACAAATGAATAGAAATGCTACATTGCCAGCGGAAAAGGGCGGACACCAGCAGTGACAGACCTGGGAGACAAACGAATAGAAATGCTACACGGCCAGCGGAAAAGGGCGGACACCAGCAGTGACAGACCTGGGAAACAAATGAATAGAACTGTTAAGTGGCCAGCGGAAAAAGGGGGACACCAGCAGTGACAGACCTGGGAGACAAATGAACAGAAATGCTGCATGGCCAGCGGAAAAGGGCGGACACCACCAGTGACAGACCTAGGAGACAAATGAATATAGATGTCGCATCGCCAGTGAAAAAGGGCGGACACCAGCAGTGACAGACCTGGGAGACAAATGAATAGAAATGCTACACGACCTGCAGAAAAGGGCGGACACCACCAGTGTGACAGACCTGGGAGACACATGAATAGAAATGCTGCATGGCCAGCGGAAAAGGGCGGACACCAGCAGTGACAGACCTGGAAGACAAATGAATAGAAATGCTACATGGCCAGTGGAAATGGGCGGACACCAGCAGTGACACAAAGGGCGGACACATCTTAAGAAAGAATTGAGAACCCCTATATAACAGTAAACAGTTGGGGGAAAAAGTGGGAGACAAATGCAAGGAAGTGGGAGACAAGCCGGCTGGAAACCCCAGGCACCCAGCCTGGGAGACAAATAAAAGGAAATGGGAGACAAATGCAAGGAAGTGGGAGACAAGCCAGCCGGAAAGCCAGCCGGGAACCGGACCACAAGCACCCAGCCTGGGAGACAAATGAAAAGAAGTGGGAGACAAATGAAAAGAAGTGGGAGACTAATAAAAAGAAGTGGGAGACAAATGAAAGGAAGTGGGAGACAAGCCAGCCGGGAACCCGACCACAAGCACCCAGCCTGGGAGACAAATGAAAAGAACCGGGAGACAATTGAAAAGAAGTGGGAGACAAATGAAAAGACCGACTACAAGCACCCAGCCTGGGAGACAAATGAAAAGAACTGGAAGACAAATGAAAAGAAGTGGGAGACAAGCCGATCCAGCACCAAGGCGACCATTCTTTAAAGCATTGAGAACCCCTAACACTAAACTGTTTGGGGAATGAATAGAAATGCTACATGGCCAGCGGAAAAGGGGGGCACCAGCAGTGACAGACCTGGGAGACAAATGAATAGAAATGCTACATGGCCAGCGGAAAAGGGAGGACACCAGCAGTGACAGACCTGGGAGACAAATGAATAGAAATGCTACATGGCCAGCGGAAAAGGGCGGACACCAGCAGTGACACAAAGGGCGGACACATCTTAAGAAAGAATTGAGAACCCCTAACAGTAAACTGTTTGGGGAACGAAAAATGCCTAATCAGATTGCTTTTCAGAAGCTTTATAAACTTCTATGAAGGTACTGTAATCTTCAAATCCAATGCCCCTGCCAGTACTTAGCTTGCGCACCCCAGAAAAGAGGTGGCTGATCTAGTCCAAAGAAACTCGCGATGAATCTCATTGCACTCTGATACAACCTGTGTCTACTGTTGGGCCTCATCTGGGAGCCGCATGTCATCCATCATCCTGCTGCGCAGGTTTAGTGAAGGATTGTTACCCACTCTCTGCAATCAAGGCAGCAAACAAAAAGCAAAGGATCTTGGTCAGCAAAGCACTGCATTTTTCAAACACCACAGAGCCCCGAAATTCGCGGGGGATCTGTTTGTGCGGAACTGGCCATCCGCAATCACCCTCTCCAGGTCACACCTGCTGGTCAGTACTTCGTCAACGAACCATGCCAGCCGGACTCTGCATCGGTTTTGCCAGAGGGCGGCCGATTCGCGGCTTTCGCCCTGGCGAAAGAAGAGTGCGCGGGTCTAATGGGCCAGGAAGTGGCAGTGGTTTACATAAGGCATTACAGTATATAAGAGCCAAAGAAGGCCACCGAATGCAATGTGTAAGCCAGCATGTGAGTGCTTCTGCGATTCTACCAGTCTTCTTTATGACTGTACATGGGGTGATTCCATTCTCCAGAAAGCAAACACAGTCCGAGGGGTTCATGGACAGTTTTCCGAAGCGGCCTCAACTGTTCCAACGGCACGGCCCCCTTTGGAGGCCAAAGCAAACGGTTGGTGTGAGCCTTGGAATCCATGTGCAAACGGATGGACTGCAACCATAGCAGGCAATGCAACTGCAACCATGAGCAAGCAATGTATCTCATTGTCTGGATCGCAATATTGATTCTCGTTGTTCTCTGGTACCAGAACTACAGTATATGACAATGACACACACGCACAATATCACAAGAATTACTGTAGTGAACAAACAGAGGACAGGCCCCTTTCTTCGATCATATCAATCTCCTCCCGCTGGGCGTCAAAACGTTGAAGTACCGAGGACGTACTGAAGTGAACAGAATGTCCTGACAAGAAGTTGTGCCAGCATGCTTCCTATGCAGGTTCTTCTCAATGACGATTGACAGTCTTCATCCATATCACTGTCTAGCAGATCAAAGATTTACAATAAGTAAAATGAGAAGCGACGAATCTGCCTTCAAGCGTGCCTGACGATATCAACACTTCTCCATACACATCTAGCCAAAATGTTTTAGTCCCGCAGAACCCCCATGACCTGTGGAGGCTGGTCATCACGCGCGCACCAAAAAGGGGAAACGAAGAACGCCTATGAAGATCAAAGAAGGTTTCTCGTCCCGTTCCTCGGACGGCCTCCAACCTAGTTGCGATGGCCTCCAACCTACGTAGTAGCCATGGCCTATGAAGCCCAAAGAAGGTTTCTCATGTCCCATTTTCCGGACGAACTTTGAACTGCCCTGGCCAAACTGGCACTAACCGCTAGATCCTCACATCCCAACTCTTGCCCAAAAGCCCAAACCAAGAAAAATGACTGGACCGCAGAAAGACACTCAAACATCACAGCAAGGCACCCAATAGTTCCCGAGGATGCCACGGTGAAAGGGATTCACAGCGCCGCTAAAAGCGCCCTTGATCTGCTCGTAGGTGGTCTGGTTGGTACCTGCTGGATCCCTCGCACCCTTTTCTCCGGTATCATATCGCTGTCAGCTGAATGTCAGAATAAGATGCTTACAGTATCTTAAAGTGACAATAAAGGGCAGCATTCTTCCGGCATACCCATAAAAAAGAAACGGTTGGAAGACAAAGGACATGCATACCTTGTCATGAATGGAACGGATCGGGCAGAACTGTCCTCAGACATCGGTTGACCGATTCGGCAGGTGGGCGCACAGACCAAATAGTTGTGATACGCACAGAGCCCAAAGGTGAACCAAACAATGCCTGACGCGCAACGGCAGGAGTGAGTATCCAAGGATCCACTCAAGCTGCTCTAGCTTCTAGCCACCTCAAAGGTGTGTACAAGGGCCTTGCTGCAAGGGTTCATACTCACAGCCAACAATGTTCCGAAACCTTATTTTGATGATCCTCTCGCAACTCCGAGATGCTAAGCCTCCAAGCATAACTATATAAATTCTTGCTCAACCAAGCCGAAATCATGTCGGGGTGGGTGAAAACCTGCACAACAAAATCACGTGGATGTTCGCATCACCACACCCACACCCGCGGCACCTAGGGCATAGATGGACAAAACAGCTGCCATTGGCGTAGACAGTAGTGCCTGTTCCGCACAGCCACAAATGCATAGAGGTCCCAACTATATAGATGAAATGGATTACTTTCATGCCTACTTATACTAAATTCTTGAGGTCACTATGCTGAGACAACCTGAACCTGCTTCTGGTTGGCTCCGTGCTCCCTTGTACCAAGCAGACCTGCATGCAAACCTGCATGCAAGCCATATTATGGAGTTGTTGCCCAAATCAATTGTCCAGAAACTTGTGGTGACTCAATCACTTTGATGGTCTTCATGAGGTGACAGACTGCCGACAATGCTTCTACAGGGCTGCATAGACATGTAGCACTCCGACCTAATCCAAAACTGGGTACCAACACCAAGTCCTTTTCTTCAAACACGTCTTCGTATATAACCTAATCTGCGGCCAAGAATCTGGCGTGGACTAAGAAGGGTCCCTTTTCATAGAAAGTTGACCCTGTATGACCTGTATGACAGCGGAATGTAGGAAACATGGGAAACACGCCAAAAATAAGACGCCCAACGCCTGGCCAAAGGCATCCCCTGCGCCAATCTGCGCGTCTTCCGCGATCTGTGAAGATCCTTGGGAATGGGGCATGTGGTGGGTTGTGACCACACCCGTGACTGCCGTGACTCTCCCTGTCGGACTGAAAAGGTCCGATGCTGGTGGTGCCTTAAAGGTCACTATCAACCAGTCTGGAACACATGGATGATGGCGCATCAGTCTGGTCCACTGGAAGTTAAGACACACAAAGTCGTCATGCCACGTTGTCATTGTGCAGCTATACCATCTACAGTATAGATAATTACTGGTCACACTTCCCGCCACATTCTACCTTAGCACTCTGAATCTATTGGAAATACCCCCGGGGCTCACAAAGGCTGCTTGCTGGAAGTCCAAACGAGGTAGCTAAGACTTCTTCTATCCCAAACATTTCAATAACACTCTTTTCATGGCACAGTACAAAAAGGTTTAGATAGATGTGTGCAAACACCTTTCAAACACCTTTTGTTCACAATACCCCTGCTGCTCCTGCCGTCTTTAAACCGGGAAGAGTCATCGCCCATGATAACTCTTCACTCCAAGGGGCGTAAGGCTATCTGTGCCACTGCGGTGGCTAAGACCAGCACGTTGAGAGCACCCGTGGTAGACACGAAGCCATAGAAGAGCCGGTAGTTTCCTAAGAAAAACTGAAGCAAAGTAAAGCATCATGGACACCTGAAACCGGCGGACACCTATACACAAATTTCCTGGCAAATATTTGTGTTGTTCAAGTAGTTCAGGTGACATCCTCAGGCAATAGCCCAATATCTAAGAAGTTGGTGAAGAGAGACAATGCTCAACGTGATCACCCCTACCGCCCACCTAACGAGTCGAAGCACTATTTTCTAAGTTGGTCGTCGAGTCGCATCACTCTGTTACCAGTCGGTTTTCATCAACTGGCAACCAGGGATGCAAATCAAATGCCGTCCAACTGAGTCATACCCTGGGTTGGGTCGGGTGGGCGACTCAGCTGGAGCCAAAATGGCATACGGGGGAGGAAGTAACCTCTACCACACTCATGCATTGTCAACTCCACAAAAATGTGTTCTCTCGACAATGCTCAACGTGATCACCCCTACCGCCCACCTAACGAGTCGAAGCACTATTTTCTAAGTTGGTCGTCGAGTCGCATCACTCTGTTACCAGTCGGTTTTCATCAACTGGCAACCAGGGATGCAAATCAAATGCCACTTGACTCGACACCAACGTCCGTGCCAAATTCCTCCTACCCACTTGCGTCTGACGCGCAGGGATCGTTGGAGGTGTCGGTGTCCTCATGGTCCGACGCTGTGCAGGGTGCGACAGCCGGGCGGGAACCGGGAAAACATTTGCTACAGCGGAGGTGGGCAGTATTGACTGGTATGTCTTTACAGATGCGGTATTCAGCCTGGTTCTTGCCAAAGGGCCAACCGCAACGTGTACGCCACCGGCGTGGGTGGATGTCTAACTTATAGATCAGTGTGATGTGATATCTGCCGCCTTTTGCGGTGTTTAAAAAGTTGACACCTGGCAGATTTTCATCGGGCACACTGAGGTGCACTGAGGCTTCGCAATCTTCCAACATTTGCGATTCCGGAGGCATGAAGGTTGCTTTGCAATCCTTGATGCGTTGTTGGAGTGTGCTGAGTTCCTCCTGGGCTTTGCGCACCGACATGGCCGCGGTCGATTCTAGTGCCAGTCTGTCCAGTTGCGCGACTGGGGCATCTTGGATGTAATGTAAGAACACATCCGACCCCCATCGGCCGAACAGCTGAATTCGCCACAACTCAATGTTGCGCATGGCCATGAACCGGGCTCCGGTAACTCTGGCGCTGTGTCCAGTGTACGCTCTTGCCCCGTTGTCGTGCACCGTGGGCAACTGAAGCCGTTTGGCGATTGCCTCAAAGGTATCGGCCCAACCTTTCTTGGTGGATTCCAATCCGTCTTCAGCTGGGAAAAGAAGTTGTTCGGGTCCGTCCGGCAGCCTGTCCAAATGTTCCAAAAGTACGTGGAAAGGGCACAACCTCTTGGTGTGCACGGAGCATGCGCACGTATGTGACCGCGTCGCTCCAAGGGCTGCCTGATCCGTCTTCGAACTAGGTAGTCGCCATGATGCTTTGAGTGTGGCTATCTCGATGGTCACGTGTTTGCGGCGTGCCCGAGATGCCTCAATCTCACGCAAAAGCCACCATGATGCGAGTATGATCGCTGACACTGGATGTGTTGGACCGCCTGGGGCTAGAGCACTGTCGCCCAACAACTCGGCTACCTGTACCAAAGGGAGGTGAGCCGCCTGCTTGGGATGTCCAATGCCGCGCTTGCAACTGCGCACGGCGGACCGGTAGGCTTGTTGAAGCTGGCAATCCCATGGCTGACCGAGGGCAATGTGACAGTTCTTCGCAGTGTCCAGGTAGAGCTGTGCTGATCGATACCCTCCAGTCTTGAGAGCCCCCATGACGGTGAAGATCATGTTTGGGTCCAAGTGGAAGGGGTCTGACCATCCTGCGGTCACGGCCAGCGTAGCCCAAAGTTTCTGACGTGATGCGGCCGGACCTTTGGTCGACTCCGCCATGATGTCTTTCGACAGCTCCGCTCTGCATGCTTGCGGGTCTTGTGCCGCGGCGATGGCTGCCTCTGCCGACCCTCTGCCGTAAGGCTTGGGTTCTCCCGAGCCCCTGTCCCGTGGCCCTCCGCCCGGAGTGTGGGGAGCAGTGACCGATGCCGCGGAGGCCGGCCTGTCTACAATGGTCAGGGTCGGTGGAGTTAAGGCAAACCCTTCATGCAGGAGTGTCGGTCTACTGCGCGCCGTTGGGGGCACGCCCGGGTATGAGGCGAGTGAGCGCTTGAACGGCATGCTGCAGCGCCGAGCGAACAGTCTCGGATCGCCTTCCCCCCCGAAGAAACCGCACCGGAAGACAACTTAGGGGTTCGAGCGACTTGGACAAAGTCTCCCTACCTTCCCGCCCGGTGGGTTCAGCCTCGCCTCTTTCTCAGGTCTCGGTCCGCATCAGCCACGTTCTTGGCTGTCTCAGAGGTCTGCCTTCCAGAAGCTGGGCTCGAGGCTCACCGGAGTGTGCTCGACGGACCGCAGGTATTCTGGAAACTTCGGAGCGACCGGCGCCGTCTGTCGGGACAGAGCGTCTGCCTCTAAATTGGTCACCCCTGGGATGTGGCAGAGCCAGTGAATGCGATATGACCTGAGGGCTTGGTCAATGGCGAATTCGCGTGCCAGTGCATTGAGTTGGGATGAGGCGGCTCCTCCCTTAGCCAACATGCACAGCACGCCCATGTTATCTGAACGGGCCCGCACTGCGGCTGAGTGTCCTAATTGCGGCAGCCACAATCGGAAGGCCACCAGCAAAGCAAGACCTTCCCATAGAGTGTTGTATTTCGAACATCCCGTGACAGCTTTAAATCTGCTCAGCGCGTTGGCTGGGATGTTGCTGGAAAAATATTTCGTCGCCTGACTCCCCACCTTTAAAATCCCGCCAATTCCCCAGGGGCTGGCGTCTGTGGTGATCTCTGCGACGACTTGTGGTTGGTGGCTCTCCAAAACTCTGCACAGCGGAGCGGGTTTTCCACCTAGCAACGCCCGGATCCATTTCAATGCCGGGCGGATCCTTCGGGTGTGCACCAGCTTTCCGGGAGGTCGAAATTTCCCCTCTCCGTCGTTCGCAGGTATGCAACTACCCAAGGCTGCCCATATTGACGACAGGAATGGGCGGAGGTGTGTTACCAGCCCGGCTACGAAAGACAAGGAGCCTGCGTAGGAGCGCAACTGCTTCCTGCCAACCACCGGTCTTTTGAGCATCAGGTCCGTGGTCTCCCTCAGCTTCTCCACCTTGTCAGTGGGTATGGTGACCTTGACTGTGCTCGCCTCGTCGTCCAGCTCGAGCCTGGCTCCGACCCAGTTGATGGCCTTGCCTCCTTCGGCCTTTGACAGCTTCACGGGGAAGCCTGCTATGGCGAACCACAGCATCAACGATGTGAGGTCGAGGGCAGCCTGCTCGAGATCGCCGGCCAGCACGAAGATCGGGTCGTCTACATAGATTTGTGCGCTGGCTTTCGGAACGATGGCTGCACAAGCTCTCCCCAGCCATGCGGCGAAGCGGCCCCAGATTGTTGGGGAACTCCCAGCCCCAAACACCAGGGTGTCGAAGACAATGAGCTCCATGCCTTCCTGGGGTTTGGCCTTTGGCCGTGCTGCGACCGTGAACCTTTTGTCTGGTCCCGCCGGCACGTTCATGAAGGCGTCTTTGACATCCACTGCCGCCAGCCACAGTTGGCGTCCATCTCTGTACACTCGCACGGCCTGTTGAGTCACATCGAGCAACCGTGGGAGGATGATTCTTTCGCCTTGGTGGCAGATCTGGTTGGCCCGGGATTCCTTGAGGTCCCAAATGATTCTGCTCTTGCAGGTATGGGCTCGCTGTACCCCAGTGGTGCTCCATGATCCAACCATTGACATAAGTTCGTGGTGTCTGGATCTTGAGTGGCTGTTCCCCAGGCCTCTACGATGTTTGCCTCTAGTGGGGTGTCTGCCTTGGCCGTCCTGTTTCTCGGAGCGTACGGTCTGCCCAGAGCTTCGGCCACCTTGACTCTCAGCCCGGTCACGACCTCTTCCGGGAATGGGCTGGCCACTCGACCGGTGAGTATGTCGCGACCGATGGCCGTAAGTTCCGGTGAGGCCCTCTGAGTCTCTTCGAGGATTCGCCGCACCATTGCTCCCGGCCCCTTCATCGATGGCAGGCGCTGGACCGCCAAATGCGGGTTTCGCATCCCCCCGATGGCCACCCGGTTCTCCTCCTCTCTCTGAGTCGGTGGCCGGAGAGTGGAGGCGTCAGGAACCGAAGGTGGGTCTCAGAGCATCTCCTTGCGGAGCTGCTCCATCTTCCACTTGTCGTCGACGTTCTTGTGGAAGGCGACCGCGAGGATCTTGCTCAGGAGTTCCGTGTACTCGCCCTGGGACTTCGAGGCTCTCTGCATCTTGCCGTCCACCTGTTCCCACCTCTGTACGGTCGGGTTGTGGGCTGCCTCGAAGGTGGCGCCGTCCTCTCGAGTCCATACTTTCTTCTCGTGGTTGCACCTTTTGTCCTTCAGGGCGGACAGCTCCAACTTCTCTGTGTAGAGTTTGGTCGGCTTGGTGGTCTCGAGGCCAGTGATGCATTGGTCGAAACGTGTGATGTCGACCCCTTGCCACCTTGGCATGTCCTCGATCCGGGGCATCATCCAGAGTGACGGCTTCCCTGGTGGATGGTCTGGATTCTCTAGACCCCAAGGCCTGACCTGCTGATGGAGCTTGTGTGCCACTTTGTAGGAGCGATGGACCAGGATGTTGGAGTCCCTCAACTGAGCTGCTTCAGCTTTTGTCGGGTCTGGGATGCCGGTGATGTGGTCGATGGTTCGGATCACCCGAGGCCCCGGCGGCTTCTCTCTGAGAGGTGAGAAGGTGCCACAGCGCGTGGCGATCCACCCGGCCTGAAAGAACTCGGCGTCCAGGTCTTTCCAGGCTGCATACCAGCCACCCGAGTCTGGCCATTTGGTGGGCGAGGTCGCCTTCCCTAGATCTTCCGGAAAAGACGATCAGCATCCGTGGTTTCTTGGAGGTTTCACCCACGGTGCTAGACCACCAGCCGTACCTCCTGGGAGGTTCCTTCAACGCCACGACTGGCCTGAGCCCTGCTGACCCGCCTCCCTGAGACCCTGAGGCGGGAGGCGAAGGGTTCTCGCTCGGTTGCGATCTGGAAGACTCGGCCGCCGACTCCTCTTCGTACACCAGCTCTTCTTCTTCCTGGTCGTCGACGGCTCCTTGCCGACTTTCTTCGGCCTCCTTCCTTTGTTTCTTTGTGGGCGGCGCCTCTGGCGACTTCGGGGCTGCCTTCCTCTTGATGGCCAGGCCCGGAATCTTCCGAGGGCCCGCAGCTTGCGCCGATGGAGGTACTTTCTTAGGCTGTTTCCCTCCCGACGCGTTCAGGTCAGCTGCACGCGAGCCGGTGGAAGTCTTTCCCCCGGCCGCGATTGCGGGTCAGTCCTTCTTGGCCCCAGTGCAATGAACGCCCTGGCGCGGACCTAGGCACTTGTTGCACTGATGGGATCTCTTGGACTTGCATTTGCCCTGGGCTTGCTTCGACCCGCACTTGTCGGCATTGTAGAGGCGGCAAATCTCGACACCACGCCGGTTGTGCGAATAGGTGCCATCAGTCCCCTTCCGGGACTTATCTTCGCCCTTGTAGGTCCTGTTCGACCGGCCTGCCCTTCTTCTCTTCGCCTCGCCATCCGGAAGCTCTTCATCTTCTCCTCCCGTAGGGGCCCGCTTCGAGCGTGCCAGAAACAGGGTAGTTGGTGTGGTGAGCTCCTTGTTCCAGAACTCTGTGTCCTTCACGGCGTAGGCATAGCAGGCGTTCCAGGGCGCAGCTGCTGTGAAGCCGAAGGTGGGGTTGGCGTTTAGCTCCCGCCTCAGCCTTTCGAGCTGCTCAGAGCGCATGCGGCTGTCGGCCTTGCAGATGAACGGCCATGCCTCCTCTCCGAATTGGGTGACAAACCCCCGGATGTGTTCGGCATAGGCATCCAGCCGTTCAGCCTCCGCCGCCTCCAGCAGGAGGAGTGCAGTCCTGTAGCACCTCCAGGCTTTGTACCATTCATAGAAGGAGCCAGGTCCAGGCTGCTCTTTCTTGGCCCATTCGCCCGTGGAGACGTTGAGGCTGTAGCTCTGGTCTGGCGGCGAAGGAGGCGCTGACCATGCGGGCCAAAGATCGAGAAGTCGGCGTACGGGACCGCGTGTGCCGCTAGGACCTGTGACTCAGTGCGGCCAACTGATCACGACTCACGTCGGCATCCACACTGGGGAAGTCTCCATAGCGGTTGCGGTAACGCTCGTACATGCCTGTGACTTCAGCATCACCCAACGGCTGAATCTCTGCGTCCAGCGTCGGCTCAACTTCAACTTGCGAGCCTGTGGACCCCCTGGTGCGGGTGCCGGAGCCCCTCCCGCTGCGGGGAAGGGGGCTGGAGCTACCGCCGGAGCGGCCGCTGCTGGATCGCCTGGCAGGTCGATGGGTCTCCCCGACCGTAAGCAACAGACTCTCCTGAAGGATTCCAGCCGTGCCTCCTCGACCGGAGTGAGAACTCGAAGCGGCGGCCTAGGGTCTCCTCCGTCTTGGATCTGTAGGCCTGCCACCACCCGATCCCAAGTCGGCCTGGGAATGAGGGCGATCTCTCGTACCCGTGCGGGTTGTCCCAAGGCGGCTCCTTCCACCCCGCACCAAGCGCGAGCCTCCGCCAGGTTGGTGATGGCTTGAAGTTCACCTTCCGTGGGGTCCATGGTTCACCACCGGGCCTTCGTGGAGTAGAGGTGCTCCTGGCGTGGTAGATCTCCTTCGTGCACGACGGCCCTGTGTCGGGCGAGACCCTTCTGTGTTGCGAAGGGTGAACCTCTTGTAGCCGTTGAAAGCTACGCCCACTCGGCGCCTCTTGTTCACGAACTTGATGGCGCGCCGCGTCAGTCGTTCCCAGGCGACCAGGGCTTCTTCACCGGCCGTAGTCCGGGGGGCAGGTGCACGACAGCACGCCCACCCGACTGCGATGCCGGCAAAGAGTGTCAGTGCCCACACCACACCCAAGATGACCAGAGGATCAAAACCTCCCTGGTCCTCGGGGATGGCAGAAACCACCAACTCGCCCATGCCCACCTGTGGTTCGACTCAGCTGGAGCCAAAATGGCATACGGGGGAGGAAGTAACCTCTACCACACTCATGCATTGTCAACTCCACAAAAATGTGTTCTCTCTACAAACAAAGTCCTTATTCAAGCCTGGCATTGCTACACCAACTCCATTTTCCTGCAAATGTCTCTCTTTGCTGTCACCAATGAAGGAAAAAAGATGTTCTGATGGGCTCCTCCCTGTTGGCCTCTGATTGGGAGCGTTGAAACCAGCTATGCAGTCTCTCGCTACTCACTTTTGGGAAAGTTGTGATAATAATGAACTCAAACCTACTTCTTTGCTCTAGATAAAAATGGATCGAAGTCTGTTGTGGTCTTCCTGGGTTGCATCATTGCATCCGCAAAGAATTCTTCTGCACCCTGTGCACCAGGCCCTGAGGATCATCCAAAAGTACTGCAACATTCGAGGATCCAAACACTCAACCTAAATCTGGTTCTCAAAAAGCCCACTGATTCGTCCAAATAAGGCCCACGCAAAACCGCAAGGTCGCTGCGGCTTTTACTCGTGAGATGAAGGCATGGTCAGCCAACGCCTACTGTGTGAAACATCATGTTTGATCTTATTTGTAAGAACCACAGGTCCAAGCGGCGCTTGCCAATGCAATTCCCCAGCCACGGACAGTGATGATCAAAACGCTCCACGCAGTTCTCGCACACAGAACAATGAGTACACCGAGGCGGCCGGTAGATGTTGCCTTGCCAGGCCATGCAGTATCATCAAGACATGGTAAAATCACAAACGCTTGGAGCTTGGGATGTTGCTAGGGAATGCAAGCCAGTAATGAGACCATTCCCGAATCCCCGAATCAGTCATAGAAAATGTCTTTGATTTATGTGAGACGTAACGGGTGAGGTCTTCAAACCCCAAACCTCCAAGGAAACCATAAACATGAACATTGTTGGTTTGTTGGTTTCTTGGTTGGTCCCTTGGGTAATTTGACCCCGCTGTAACCAGGGTAGCTCACCCAGTCACGAGGAAGTGGTCACTCAAGCAGGATGTGATTGGAGACCTTCGTTGATTGCTGCGAGTCCACTGGTTTATAGACTCAGCAGCAGCTATTCAGCTACTCGGTTCCACCATCATCCCCTTCCCCATGGATCCATGCCTCTATGCATGATTCCGAATTCATCCGTTTCGTGAGGAGGAGGTCTACCTAATCCCTAGAGAAGTCTCAAGTCTTAAACCACTGCTTGGATGTTAGGGATGAACAATGTTTATGCATCAACCCTCGCTTCAGATGGCTTCTGGCCCAAAGGGACTCTGGGATGTCATCACGTAGAAGACAAACAAGGCTTAAATCCAAACCCTTTTCTTGTACACAGATTGCCTTCATCCCAAGCCAAGTGTCAAGTCTTGCAATACTTCAACTTCAGCCTTGGCGACAAACATCCAAGGAAAGTGGCTTGAGGGTCAACACAAAGCGAACCGTAACCAAAGCTTGCTGGGGCGACTCTGGTGGGCAAGCATTGCCCCTCCGTGCATGGCTGCTTTTGTAGATGATTTCTGTAGTGTTCATCGCGGAGCCCCAAAGAAGCTTGCTTCAAGACGCAGCGGCCTTGTACAGGACAAAAGCTGCTACCAAGTTGAACCCTCTGGTTTGCAAGAACCAATCAATGCGTTGTGCAGGGTGGTCCTCAGCTTCCCCAACCACGATGGTCAAAACCCATCAAAGAAGAGATAAGAGAAACAAGTGTGAGCCCTGTCCACCTGGCGTCATCCTTCGTCGATGGTGGCCACACGGTGGACCAACTATCTTCCGAGGAGCGGGTGCCCGCGCAGCACCACATCATAGAAACGTTGAGGCTCTCGAACACGGAAGAGCTGACAAGGGGAGCAAAAGAAGTAAGGATGTCTTTTTGGGGGTGGGAGCTGAGGTGTGTGAATGCATGGACCAAACTGGATAATATTTTGGAAAAGAGGCACGTCCCACATTTCAGGTTCCTGTTATCCGACATGTGTACCTGTGAGACCAGTATTATGTTGTTTGGACCCAGGATTCCCCTTGTGTATGCTGTGTCAAAACAATGCAATCACCTTGGTCCTCTCATCATAGTGCTCCATGAAATCCTTCTGTCGTGGCATAATCCCAGGGTCAGACAAAGCCTGAGCAACCAAGGCAAGTGCACAAACTCAAAAGTGAAGAAAACGGTAGTCTAAAGTTTTGACTAACTAGATACATAGTGGGGTCACTGATTATTTCTACCAAAGGGGAACGTGCCGAAGATTCTCATAAAGTTCCTCGCTTGCAGATTCAACAAAAGAAAACTTAGTGTCTTTCACAGCTTTGGCGTGGTGGGACACTGCAGCTCAGACCCACAGCTGATGCACCAGGCTGGGTAAACAGCAGGCCCTCAATCTAAGCACCGCTCGGTTGCCAGGAGAAGATAGATGGAGCTCACCTCTTCAGCATGCCACATGATTGAGTAAAAGTTAGGTGAATCCAAGACCTACAGTCTGTAAGAGGGTTTCAAGGCTTGTCGGAAATTAGTTTTGGCGGAAATTCGGAAAGTCGGTAATTCGGGTTTCTGAAAAATCTTACTTTTGGCGGAAATTCGGAAATTAACCATTTCTGAATTTCTGACAAACTTTGCTTTTTTACATCATTTGGCGGAAATTCGGAAATTAACAATTTCTGAATTACTGAAAAACTTTACTTTTATGTATAGTTTGGCGGAAAGTCGGAAATTAACAATTTCCGAATTGTTGAAAAACTTTACTTTTTTACATCATTTGGCGGAAACTCGGCAAGTAACAATTTCTGATTTTCTGAAAAACTTTACTTTTTTACATAGTTTGGCGGACATTCGGAAATTGACTAATTTCTGAATTACTGAAAAACTTTACTTTTATGTATAGTTTGGCGGAAAGTCGGAAATTAACAATTTCCGAATGTCTGAAAAGCTTTACTTTTTTACATCATTTGCCGGAAATTCGGAAATTAACAATTTCTGCATTTCTGAAAAACTTTACTTTTTTACATCGTTTGGCGGAAATTCGGAAATTTATGAAAATAGAACTATAGAACTTTACTTGTTTTAACATCGTTGGCGGAAATTGAACTGGCTGTCAGCCGGTTAGAAAAAGCCGCAGTACAAATCTAGATGATACTACGCTTGAGGCTGAGGCTGCTGAAGATTGACTTGCCCCGCGCGCGCTGCATGCCCGGAGCGCGCTCAACAAGTTCAACATTCAGTCAGAACCCTTACAGATTCAAGCGGCTCACTATGTTTGGGCGCTTAGCCCCAAAAGCGCACTATGGTGAAGCGCGCACGGGCAGGAGACAGCAAAGAGCCCGGGCCCACGCAGGATACCTTTTCGCTTCGGGTCGCAGTTCTCTTCGCCCTGGCTGGCTGTCAGCCGCACAGAGCGCCTGGGCCTTTGCCGCGACGGAATCTGGCTAACAGCTGGAACCTGGCTGACAGCCGGAAAGCCCGTACGGCTCTTGCTACTCAGGCCACTTTTGCCCAAAGCGCCCTGATTCCAATCAAACAACGCGCTTCGAAAGCATCAGCTTGTAAACTGGCCCTAGAAGATGCATTGCAGGGGCTTCCAGGCAATGGCCGATTCCAAAGCGTAAACCCTCGGCCTACACCCAAACATACCCATCATTATCATCATCATCCTCATCACCACCATCATCATCATCATCTTGTCCTGGCGCTGTTAGGGGCGCTGCCGGA